GGATATCGGATATTCAGACAAAATGTAACATCGGATATCCGGTATCCGGTCGAATATCTGAGCAGGCAATTTCTTCAAGTCGGATATCCGACATTTTCCGAATATCGGACCGGATTCCGGAAAAATGTCTTAAAAAAAGCCTATAAAGAAAAAAATTGTAATTTTGCAACATGTATAAGATATTATAACATTATGAATATGCATACTTATTTTTAGAACATTTGTATAATAAAAAATCGACAATTTAATGATATCAAATTTCAACCGGATATGCACTGTTAAATCTATAGTGCAGTCAAATTTAACTTAATGTGAGTCGCCATTGCTCCTACTCATATCGTTATTTTATACTAAAACAATAGTTATATTTGACACTATACAGTGTCAAATTGACATGATATAGTGTCAAATTTAACTATCGTTTTGATAAAAAATAACGATATATTTAGTAGGAGCAGTGGTGATTCACGTTAGATTAAATTTGACACTATAGATTTAACAGTATATTCCCGGATACTAATGATATCCAATTATCCGGTCGGATAGTAAAAAAAGTGCCAGATAATACCGGATATCGGATATTTTCCAGATATCCGGTGCATCCCTAGTTTCGTGATTACCTCCGCTCACGTTTAAATCCAATTCAAGCGCGATTTCTGTCGATGTTGTTTAATATACGATTTCCTACTCAAGCACTTAACTTTCCTCTCGCATAGTTTGAGTTTGTATTATCTAGCGTAGTAATACTCATATCAACTATGAATGGCGTACAGAACAGGCATTGTAATAGTCATAGCGGAAGAGAGAACGTTGGGTTTTCGACCCAACAATGCTCGTTCCCTCGTTGCTCGAGCCACTCATGCTTAATCAAACGCATTGCACGCTTTATGAATTATTGTTGCGTGCTTCTAACTCGCTTCTCTGTTACTATACATACAAACATGGCTAATATATAAACTATTATAAAAAGGCTATAAAATATTTTAGCTTCTTGACTGCGTGGCGATACCGGTCGCTTTGGTACTCTCGTTTCTGGTATTGGGCGTCAGATATAGAATGGTGCACATCGTCGGCGTGTCCGTCTGCTTGATGGGCGTGGGATGTCTGGTTTGGGCTGGTATAGACGACAATAACGATCCCACTGCTACTGGTAATTATCGATGAATAGAATGCAAATAGGTTGATATTCATAGTATCATAATCAATTCTTATATTTAAATACACTGTTCAAAAAAATTATGGCATAAAAAAATTATGGGCAAAAATTGGCTAACTTTAACTAACGATAACTTTGCGAAAAATTATCGTAGGATAACGGTTTTTTTTTTAAGTTAAAACTTGAAAACTCTACTTTAAGATGCTATGGCCAAATTTTAAGTTTGCTGCATCCCTACCACTGTAACTCTAAAAAATATGAAGATGTGTTTGTCATATTGAAAATTGCAAATTTGGACGGAATGCTCGGACTTTGTAAATTTTTTGGGGAATGACATTTGCACCGGCATAAAGTTCGAACTTTCCCCTTTAATTTAAAAAAAAAAGGAAGAGAGAGAGAGAGAGAGTCGCAGCCATTTTTTTTTGCAAAGTTACAGCACTTTAAAGTAACCCTTGCATTTTTGACATATACTACTGACATTACTTGCATTACTGGATATGCACCATGAGGTTGCTGGATGGATTTTGCACGTTTCTGCGTATACGTAGATTTTGCACATCGTGTTTCTGCGTGTAAATTTCGATAACTTAAAGTAGAGATTTCAAGCTTTAATTTAAAAAAAAAAACGTTATCTTACGATAATTTTTCGCAAAGTTATCGTTAGTCAAAGTTGGTCAATTTTTGCCCATAATTTTTCTAGGCCATAATTTTTTTGAGCAGTATGTAAACGGTTTTTTAAATATAAGACGGTCTTGAGACCGTCTTAAGCAATGTCTTAAGATGCTATTTAATACGGTTCTGTGATTGGTTTATGACATCTTAAGACCGTCTTGAACATAAGAATTGACTATCAGTGCTGGACTATAAATGCATAGACAAGCTATTTCGCGGTAAAAGAGAGCGAAAAAAAAATTAATGTTTAACGTTTCAACCCGTTAGGGAAGAATCAACTTGTCGGCGATATGCTTTGTCTCGGCGGCGCGGTGTTGTTCTCGATAACGACGGTTCTTCAGGAATTGGGCGTTAAAACGGTCGATATTATCGAATACCTCGGCATGATTGGTTTTTTCGGTACGATATTGAGTTGCATGCAAACGTAAGTAGTAAACCATAATGGATATCAAAAGTTTTCAGAGGAATGCTTTGAATGAGTGACATTTTTGTATCGATCACATCATTACAGCGCCGTGCTCCAGAGGTTTCAAATAGAAGCATTTCATTGGGACAACGTACCAGTAATAACGATCCTGGTTCTTTACTGCATTACGCAATTCATGTTCTTCTCTTTGGTACCGGTAATATTGTTCGAATCTGGCGCTACCGCCTTGCAACTAGCGCTGCTCACCTCAGACTCCTTCAATATATTAGCTGGAATGCTTAATCATCACTACAAGGTAGGTTATTGATTCGCATTACGAATGTCGTCATTTCCTTTACGATCGATAGCGTTCTCATTTAAATACATTAAATAGAAAGTATTATTCAATACTTCTAAAATATTTACGCAGTATGAAGTGATGCACTAAGACGAGACAAAACGATATTTTTAAAAATATTATCTCGTCTCGCAAAAATATTGAAAAATTAATTCTCGTCTCGATCTCGTTATCGAGATCGAAAATAAATCTCGTCTCGATTTCGATATTTTCGAAAATATTAACTTTTTTTTACAAATTTTTAAAATTAAAAAATCTCTGATTGGCTGGGTTCAATGGAACAGTTTTGCAATCGTTTTATGATAATCTGCTGAGATAGAATCATACCTTTAGATCAGGCCTGTCCAATTTGAGCTCCGGAGCTAAAACGCAAAGCCATCGATATAACAAATTCAATGTGAGTAAGATTTTAGAGACTGTAAAGTCTTGATAAGTGTCATTTACATGCATATCAACACCTTACAGTCCCCGAAATCTTACCCACATTGAATTTTTTTGCGATGGCTTTGTACTTTGGTTCCGGAGCTCAAACAGGCCTGCTTTAGATCTAAAAGTATAATCCAATCAGTGTGAAGAAAACTTCCAACAGTTGCAAAATAAACGTTCTGCTGAATACAATTAATCGGAAGAAGGCAGCGTGTTCAGTGGGTTGGCGGCGCGCATAGATATAATTAATATAGATAGACAAGCATTGCTATATGCCAGACAAGGCTATCGATGACTAACGCGTGTGAAAGGATGGGAACACAATCTGAGTATTCTTTCTCTCTCTAACAAAAGAAAGTGAAGGAAGTGGGGGTATAATATAGACATAGGGTTAACCCGGATCTACAATAGGATCTACAATACTCTTTAAGCCTTAAGCCATAAGAAATGGGTGAATCACAGTGGCTTATTCTCCTCGTATTCGACTGTAATTGGTCAATTTCTTACGGCTTAAAGCTTAAAACACTTATTGTATTGCTTAATACATCTATGTATATCTGTTTTCTAAAAATATATTTATTCATTTAATATTCGATATTTTTGATATTCTTAAGCCGAGAATATTGATCTTGAAAAGGCAATATTGTCTCGAAATTTATTAAATCAATATTGTCTTGATATCATTTTGATTTCAAGGCGAGACAAGAATTTTGAAGTCTCAAATATTGCGTGCCTCACTAAGTATCTTATTTTCAAAGTAAAGTTAGCTTATCGTACACGGAAAAAACAGTGAAATATTTAAAAATTTAGATATAAATCTGAAAATAATTTGTGGTACTAACAAAATAATATCAAAATAATTCTGTAAGGCGTTCAAATTGGTTACTTAATATCAAAACTTTTTGCAATATTACTCATGCTTGACCATTCAAATAATCATTTGAATGATTTAAAATAATTATTTTCAGATCTGTATCTAGCTTTTTAGATACTTTAGCAAAATCATTCTTTCCGTAAATAAAAATAATATAAATCAGTATTGAAATCTCTTTCTTCGTCTCCCCCCAGTTTCACGCATTGTACTTCGTTTCGTACGCGCTCACGATGACCGGCATATACATTTACGCCATAAAAAGAACACCAATGTCGTCGAACTCACGGAGGCAACACATTGAACCGCCGATTCCGGATTATAGGTAAAAATAATTCTATTAATCATTGAGTGAATCTTTCGAAACGAATTATCGAACATGCGTTAACGTAACATTATTTTAATCTCAAGACACATGTCCCATCCTGATGTTGGTGAAGTAGAGATGGCTACGAGTTCCGGAATGTCCGGCGTGAGTGGCACCCTTGACATAAGGGCATCCACTCTCGGCAGCGAGAGAGAGACAATGGACGCGACAAGCCTACCACTTAGCGTCAGTTCCGACACAGCCTTCACCTCTTTCTACGGCAGTCAAGCAAATCTAAAGGTAGCATCACGATCGATGCCGCGTGTCTCGTCCAATTCATATTTCGATACGAGTACCGGTGTGCCCTGATATTTATCGGGAATGAACTTGACGCGAGCGAAGGGTTCGCGTGATATTCCGAGGCAGATAGAATCCACGCGATTGAACATTTTCTCGAAATCTACTCATTTTCAATAATGCAACTTCGTGTTGCAACATGAGACTCGGTTTTATGCTAATTCTTTAAAATTTGGTAGATTCATTTTATAAAAATTATATAAGCTTTTTGGAACAGAAATCGCATAATGTAACTGATTCATACGAAGGCAATAAAATCAAACGATAAATAAAATTAATAATTGCATAAGTTCTAGATTATATCGTTATACGTTTGATGGCAAGCTTGTTTTGTATTAAAGTAACGTCTAAATGAGATTGTCCGCATACACAATTAAAAAGAAAATTTTTTTGTGGTAATCTATCTGCCTCCGATAGCGAGTGATCTCTCCGTATTTCTTTATCTAGTCTTGGAGGTGTAAATGAAATCTGTGACGGTTTCAGGCTGCGAATGGGAACAGTGGTTCTGCCTGTAATTAATAAGCGGAAGAAAACGACTGCCTAGAATAGAATACCATGCAATTCATTCATTCAAAATGCGAACTTCTTGACTTCTTGAAACGGAGTCCTTAGAAAGCACGAAAAGATGTTTGTATGTCGATACGTAATTACGAACGCTAGCACACAGTCTAAAGACTTCTTTTAGATATCTGTGTAAAATTATTATTACACAGTGTTAATTGTACTTAATAGAGAAACGATAACTGGACCGTCTTTCAATTGTTTCGATAATGTGTTTAGACGTTATTTAGTAGATAAATATAATTTATTTTTTATATTAAAAATATATAATATGAAAAAATACTATTTGTTAGAATATAACTTAATTATTGTAACAATTTTAATTATTATAATTAACTTTATAGTTTTTGTGCGCGTGACGAAATAAATTTGGATAGCATAATAACTAGTTTGATAATGAAAAATAATTTTATCTCGTTACAGTACATGTATAACTATCTAATTGGACACTTTCGATATGTATATTATACATTGGCGACTAATATTTAAGATTTAAATATTTCGTAATAATCACATATTTTCGTGTGTGTATTCATCTATAATCGAATTCAATTCAAAGACGGCTATAAAATTAAAATATATATCAAGTAGATACCAATATTCTTTCGAATCAAAAACATTTCTAGTATTGTTTATAAAGATGTGAACTAATTCTGTAAGAACGAAACGTGCCAAATGTTAAAGTCTATAAACACTTAGATCGTAGAACTAGGAGAATGCGAATGTAAAACATATACTCGTTTTACGTACATTGTGTACTCATTTTCACTTAAATTTTTTATATTAACACGAATTACCTTCGTGGAAGTTTGTTATGACTATTACGATCGATATACTGTAGTATATACAGAGATATTTATAAGTTACGCTGATAAAATGAGGGCTGAGCGAGGGGAAAACTTTACATAATTCAATCCGACGCGAACTCGACCTAATTAATACAATAAATGTAAGTCGACTATGTAATAATGCTACGCTATTCTATTCTTCTACAATAGTACGATTTGCGGATGCAATAAACAAACATCATCACCAGTGCGGATAATACTTACAATAATTATGATGAAATACTTATTTGTATTCCGCTATTGCGCGCACAATATCGAAGTATAATAATGACTAAATCTTACATTCTTGTGAATGATCCACCTTTTTTGTTGATATAACTAATCACAATGGAATCACAAGACATTTACAAAATGAGCAGAAAATCCAAACTTGACACAACTTTGACTTTGTTACACCATACTAATTCATATTATTATACAATCAATCAATAAATTAATCTTACGTAATTAACGTTGAAAAATAGAAAAAAAGTGATAATTCAGCAAAAATTCCCTCCTCCTATTTTGAAATTCTAGTATTTACTGAAATTCTTTTAATTTAGTCTTTAGTGTTCTTTAGATTTAAGAAGCATTGTTCTTTATCAATTTCGTTTTCTTAATAACATCGCTAACTTGCGAGGATTTAATTTTTCTCATTTTAAATAGATCATTTAATGTTCCCATACTTAAAATTGTAGAAAGCTACTCTAGAAAACTCATTGCTACTTCTTGACTGATTACATGTTCCATTAATTTGCTGATTTGCGAATTTATTCTTTCGCGATTCAAGCTCCTGGAAGAGATACAATTAAAACTGATTTTTGTTCAATGTCGCGACGTTACCGCATCGCTTATATATATAATGTGTGACTCTTTATAAATTCATGCCAAATATTCTGCTTCTTATACTCCAAACTAATTTTGTTTATCATAGGATACCAAATCCAACATAAAGAATACAGTCTTATTTAATCGCGAAAAGTATATTAATCTAAATTATTTTATCAGTTATTATTTTGTGCCAATTTTTTGCGGTTTGAGAGGATAAAAGTATATTATTTTATATAAATAAATCGAGAAAATTCAATTTTGAATTTTAACCATTTAAACAGTTAAATTTTGAACATTTAAACACTTGCACCGTGATAATTTTAAAGTGACAGCTCCTGAAACCAAAATGAGTACTTGCTAAATAAAAACAAAAATAATAGTCGAAAAAAAGAATTCAGAAATATATATTTTTATCGCTAAAAGAGAAAGTGTTAATATTAAAATAAGAACAAATTTATGGAAAATCAATTTCTATAATATACATATAGAGGAGAAGGTGGTATTATGGCACCTTAGTTACATTTTACATAATAACTTTGTTAATAATCAATATTTAAGTTTAAAACTTGACAATTACATTTAAAATATTGTTGAATCGATTCTGGACTCAAAATTACGAAATATTTATTATTTAGAACACGTGCAATGTGATATAATATCTTATATATTGCCACAAAATTACAATTTTTCAATTGTCGATAATGTCATCGTTCATCAATTATTTCCAGACGTCAATTATGCGCAGTCGGTATCGACACCGACAGATGACAACTATCGGTAGATGTGTAGAGAATTATATGGATCCCGAGATAGATTCGGTCCGTTAGATAGATAAAGACGAACAATCAATCTGTCGGCGCTTGTTGAACAAACGATTGTTCGTCTTTGTCTATCTAACGGACCGAAAATCGTAGATATAGCGACGAATCAAACAAAAAATCGTAAACATTACCGACGGGATCGTGGACATTGGCTACGTAGTTCAACGTCCACGTTTTGTGGACATAGAGGCGCTTCAAAATAAGGTTGCAATTAAATCCCGGGCATGGCCGCTCTCAGGCTTCTCTCTTTAATAGTAACTCGTCGGTGGTAAAGGCTACGTTTACACCATGCGCTTAGTCCACGATTTATACGATAGGTGTCTTTATTTAATATACAAGATAAACAAGGACATCTATTATATAGGCTGCGGCCTAGATGCACGGTGCAAACGTAACCATAGACTAGTAGTCTGCGTGCAGTCTTTAATCGTCTTGACGTGAGACGTGAGTACGTGAGAATATGTTACAATGGCGGGATCTATAGAGATACCACTCCGCGACACAGACGAGGTGAATATGCCTTTTCTACTGATTATATCATTAATTCACGATACCTATAACGTGATTCTGAGCTCAATGGAATTGGAAGACAAAAATTTTTGCAATACTCAGCGACGTCAATACAGACCTAACCTCAAAATAAGGACACGCTTCTCCTGGTCGAATAAATATTACATGTCACGTGCATGTATTCGGATAGCAAAATATGTTACTTCAACAGATCGGCGTTAATAAATTATTCCTACTTTGTTTACTTTAAACTCTTATTCGCCCCGTATATGTTTGCATGTATCGTTAAGTTTTTCTTTCTAATTGTTGCATGTTATGTATCGATAAGGTTGTAAGTCTACGATTTTGTATTTAAAATACAAATTCAATTCCTGTCTGCATATATTTCCAAGTGTTTTTGATTTTTTCTACCTGTGATAATGGTACAAATGTGAATTTTAAGCTTATAATGTTTCAGCTAAAATACAATCTAATATCACTTGCACACATACTCTTAAGTATTATTAATAAACCTATCTGTGATAGTTGTATTATATTATATATCAATACATTTCTACGAGTGTAAATCTACGACTTTCCAGAATATAATCTAATATCACTTGCATACTCTCAAATACTGTTAACAATCCTTTCTATCTGTAACAGTTGTATTATGTCAGTACGTAACTATATGGCTTTGTATTCAAAATATAATCTAATTCTACCTATGTGTTTTTAAATAATTCTTTCCTGTGATAATTGTCTTATACATGGATAATTGTGATCTTATGCAAATTATAATTTAAATATCACTTTCCTACTTATCTTTATTCTCACGTTATGGTTCAAATATTGTTTGCTAATTCCATGGATACTTTAATATTAGATATCATGCAGTTATATGATAACAGATAAAATCTAATGTTAGTCTTCATATAGATCAATATGAACATTGTATTAGAAAATAATACAAATACAACATTAACATAAGAAAATGACAGAAGTGTACAACAATATTCATACATAACTTTCGTATTTCTCCTTATTTCTGTACTATGTACTTTTCTATTTCTTATTATTCCTAATATTATGATCCAAATGCTCGTCTCATGGATATTTTAATATTACTTATAATGCAATTATATGATAATAAATAGGCAACAAGTAATATTAATTTCCATATACAGGGTAGGCCATTTTAATCAATACATGCGAATATCTCGTCAGGTAAGCAAGATAGCGAAAAATGTTTCAGACCAAAGTTGTATGACTTTGAGGGGGACATAAGGTGGTGTCATTAGTTTGACCTTGAACAGTTGCTTGAAGATCACGTGAAGGTTACCTTCAATTTCTTAAATGGAAATCCCTATTTTTCGTTGGATATTCTTGTAGCTTACTTCAAGAGCTTTCCAAAACACTATAATAAAATATTTTTTCATCAAGAACTTTTTTAGTTATGATGCTCGAAAATTACAATACCTCCGGCATTTAGCATTATCCAAGGTGTCTGTCCGACAGCTAAAACCTTTTAAATGTTGTTTAGGACCATGAACTGGATAACATTTATCAAAATCAAGCAACTATTCAAGGTCAAACTAATGATACCATCTTATGTCCCCCTCAAAGCCATATAATTTTGATCTGAAACGTTTTTCCCTATCTTGCTTACCTGATGAGATATTCAAGTGTATTGATTAAACTGGTCTACCCTGTA